CCGGCCCAACGGGCCAGAGGCGTGCTAAGATCTCCGGTAACTTGCTAACAATATTTCTAGTTCGCGCGCGCGGAGCGGCCCCTGGGGGCCCCCGGGCGAAAAGTGCCCCGGCAAGGTCCCGAGAGAAGCCCGGGAGAAGCCACCAGACCACTCCAGGGGAGGGTATTTTTCGACACCCCTCACGAGGATCGTGGCCTCCGAGGGGGGGGCCGCAATCGACTGCCCCCAAGAGCCCCCCAAGAGGCCCTGGGGGCCTCCAAAACGCCGCCATGGAGCCCCAAGAGACTCCCAAGGTCCCCAAGAGGCGCCCAAGAGGCCCTAAAGAGGGCTCCAGGGCCGGCGGCATGAGCGAAGCGATTAATAACAAGACTCCTTTCCTTCGGTCTCTAAAGCAGGGCACGGCGGCGGGCGGCCTGGCCTTCTGATGTTTGAGATGGACAGCAGCGTCCAGAGCACCCCCAGCGCCCAGTGCATGCTGCGCGGCCTGAACCGCACGATGCTGGGCAGCTTCCAGTTCGGCGGCGCGCAGAGAATGAAACTGTCGCCGAAATTCATCGCGATGCAGCAATCGGACAACTCCGCTTTCCAGTAAGAGGAACCGCGCACCTTCTGATGTGGAGGAAATCAGCAGCGCCGCCAACTCAGCGCCCTGCCGCCAGACCGCCCGAGAGACGCCCCTCATGTGCTCGACCGGGCACCAGCCGCAAGGCAATCATGGGGGCGAAATGGAAGCCGTTGCAGTTCATCACGCGCTTGACGAGCCGCCTCGATCATGAAATCTTCCGCGTGGAGCCACTGCTGCTCAGGGGGGGGGGGGGGCGGCCCAGGGCAGCGACCGCGAGGGGCCCGTCTAGAATTGCCTTGTGCCTGCCGTCGCGGAAGACCACATCAGGAATGCGGTGTTCCGCGGCGCGACTAGGAGCCTTGGGGCGCATGGTGATGCAGAGCATGGAGTGATCGCTCAGCCTGGACTGCGACATCTCCATGGGGGTCAGCGTCAACGGTGACGAGAATGTCAGTGCCCAAGAGGAAGTGCTCAGGAATGCCGGTGAATGCCCGACCGATCGCGGACGCCGTGTAGTGTTGACGACTGAAGTGGGTGGGGATCGGGGAGCGAATCTCCTGGGCCAGGTCGAAGAGCGGACGCCAGGACGTCTCGAGCGGCTGGCAGGTGCGCGACGTGGAGAGCGCGCTCGACATCGGCAGAGGCTCGTCGTAGCTGAAAGCATTGCCATCACGACTGTTGAAGCCACCCATGGCTAGGAATGTGCGCACCCAAGTAACAGCTTCACGCCAGTGCTGATCCACCGCTCGACGACCTAACTCCATACTACCATAGTTGTGAACATGGAGAATCCTGAAGACGGCGCCACTGACGGGAGGAGCGATCTCCAATGCAGCAGCACGCCCAGGGACCAGAAGATGATGCCGAACCACAGGACGGGCCTCATCTGGTAGAGCCCTCGGCCACGGGACCAGGAAAGCCACGCCACCTTCGCGCGCGGCCTCTCCTGGGAGTGGAAGACCTTGCACGGGGAGGGAACGCTGGCTACCAGAACCTCCAGCTGCAAAGAGACTCCGTGGCACTCCTGGATGAGCACGATGGCACCCCCCCGCATGTGCTTCTCGAGATTGGCAAACTTGCGCCTCATCCGCTGCGGGTGACAGCAGCGCAGGCCTCGCGCATTCCAGCTGACCGCGTACGCTCCGAAGAGCTGGGAGAGAAACAACGCGGAGTCTAGCGAGGGCTAAATAGACCACGGCGAGATGTCCGTCGCGCGAAAGGGCCGCTGGAACCCGGCGGCGATCGCAGCCTTGTCGATGTTGAACCGTTGTAGAACTTGCCCATCCCACCGAAGCTGCGCGCCGTCAGCGGCAGCGGGGCCGATCTCGAGCGCAACGAGCGGGACCGCGTCGATGGAAATGATGCCTTCGTCGCCAACGCGACGGAAGTGATGTTGGGGATGCCGTTCGGCGAGTAAGCGAACCAGACGCTTGGACTGTAGTTCTCGCTTGAGCTGCTCGGGTAATTTGTCGGCATTGATGTAGAGAGGCGCCGTGGCCACCAGACGTGTCCGGGGCACAGAATGTTCTCCACTGTCCTCCATTGCGCAAGTTGCGCGCGAGCGAAATACTCTTCGTTGGTGCAGCAGGTCCTCCCCGAACACGAAGGAAAAACCTACGCGCTGGAACATCGCCAATGAACGCGACGTCGCCGAGGGAAACACCCGCCACGGTGATCCATGGCTCCAACGAGCGCCGAACCTCCGCAGGCTCGATCGCCGAGGGCGCACCAATGCTGTAGAGGTGAGGGTCGGGCGGGCGGCCCCAAACAGCGAAAACAGCCATATCGAGCGGCGGGGGCGTGACCTCCGCCATGGCGAGAGAAGACTGGATGCGCTCGATGTCCGACCGCATCTGCTGTTGCTCCTGCTCGACAATCTGCGTGCGGCTGCCGAGGTCACGTAGACTGGTGTCGAAAGCGTCGACGCGGCCCCGCTGTTGTTGAACCTGCGGAATGACCAGCTGGAACTCACTCTGGAGCGCGGTAGTCGCTGACTGCATGAATGATGACGGTAGTTTCTTGCTGAAGACGTTTGGGTAGCTATGAGCATGTGGTCTGAGAAGACGGAAAAAAGGCGCTCCTCCATGTCGGCAGGCCCTGGTACGTGTAACCTGCGACGGCCAGGTTCACGAGAGGGTGGGGCCGACCTCTCGAGCTTCTGCCATGGGTCACTGTGGCGAAACGGGCCCTCACCAGCTCGTCGTTCCTCATCAGGGAATGCGGGGCAGTCCTCCCGCGCACGGAATAGCTCAGCGTGACCTGCTGGCTGTTGCCCTGGGAGTCGTTCGCGACGCTGCGAGGCGGGCCCTCCAGATGTGCCTGCACGGCGACCCACTGGAGTGAGCTGTCAGTCGTCACGATTGGACCTGCGCTGTCGTCGTTGACCACGATCGCTTCGGGAACCACTGGCTTCACCTTCGCGGCGTCGCTGCGTGCGGCGATCCCTCGCGGCACTAGAGGAGGACCTCGAGCTGCCGCTTGAAGCCGTAGCGAAGAACACTGGCGATCTCAACACCACGGAGGAAACAGCACGCCAGAATCGGAGATGAGGGGGTGAGATCGAAGTGGAACGGAGAGCCCCCCTACCAGGAAATCGATTTCGGTTTCGTGTTGGTGCGTGCCGCGCGGGCGGGCGAGGCGAAGCTGCGTGGGCGGGCGAAAGGAAAGTCTCCTGTGGCTGAGGCGCGGCCGGACCAATTGTGTCTCTTCCGGGCGGCCGGTGGCGCGCGGTGTCCCGCCGGTGCCCCGCTGGTGCCCCGTCGGTGTCCCTGTGGCTGAGGCGCGGCCGGACCAAATGTCTTCTTCTGGGCGGCCGGTGGCGCGCGGTGTCCCGCCGGCGCCCCGCTGGCGCCCCGTCGGTGTCCCTGTGGCTGAGGCGCGGCCGGACCAAATGTGCCTCTTCCGGGCGGCCGGTGGCGCGCGGTGTCCCGCCGGTGTCCCGCTGGTGTCCCGTCGGTATCCTATCGGTGTCCCGATGATGATGTGGATGATTATGATGATGATGATGGTGATGATGATGGTGATGATGGCGATGATGATGATGATGATGTTGGTGTTGTTGATGGTGATGATGATGATGACGTCAATTGTGAGATCGATTGTGACATCGATAGTGAGACCGAATGTGATATCGATTGTGAGATCGATAGTGAAATTGATTGTGAGATCGATAGTGAGATGGGTAGTGAGGCCGAATGTGAGACCGAATGTGAGATCGACTGTGAGATCGATTGTGAGATCGATAGTGAGATCGACAGTGAGACCGACTGTGAGACCGAATGTGAGATCTATTGTGAGATCGATAGTGAGATCGATAGTGAGATCGATAGTGAGATCGATAGCGAGATCGATAGTGATATCGATAGTGAGATCGACTGTGAGATCGATTGTGAGATCGATAGCGAGATCGATTGAGTGAGACGTTGATTCCCCCTCCCCCCTCACCTCCTTATCACCCGCAGGGTGGTCGTATAGGTATGGAAGATACGGAAAGCTGGCGGGCGGCAGCTCGCCCCTGAGTGTCGCTGCATGAATGAACGAGCTCTGGGCTGGGATGGAAGCCTACCCCGCTCAGGCAGTGACCAGGACCATATTGGCTACTTGAGCCAAAATGGCGACGGATGATGATAATGATGATGATGGTGATGCTGACGACGATGATGATGATGACGATGATGATGGCGATGACGATGACGATGATGATGATGATGATGATGATGTGGGGCTCTCTCGAGGCCATCGGGTACTTTTTGTGCAGCAGGGCCACGGCGCACGAGAACAACGGCAAGCCTCGAAGCACAGACTCGGTCAGTAAAGCACAGAACAGTTAAACTTCGGCTCAAGTTGGGCGGGAGGGCCCAAGGAAGAACTTGTGCAAGGAGGTGCGGCCACATGCAAACCCACAAGTGCCGACAAGTCGCTGCATGCGGGGCTCCCTCGAGGCCATCGGGTACTTTTTGCGCAGAAGGGCGACGGCGCACGAGAGCAACGGCAAGCCTCGAAGCACAGACTCGGTAACTCACGCTAGTCCCAGCAAATGGCCACAGCCGCAGCACTTCATTGACCAAACATTTTCCTGTATCTAGCGGCGCGAGATAATTGCCGAGCAGCGGCCACTATCATGTCAGTGCCAGCAGTGGCTACCTGAAAGGGGAGCCCACGGGCGGAGCAACGTGCAACGGCATCCAGCGCAGGACGCCCTAGGCCGCCAAGGTGTCGGCGGCCAGCGCGGTCACGCCGGCCTAGGGTGCAGAGGCAACGGCGCGACAGGCAATGGAGATCTCGGACGCCCCATCCGATCAAACACAATCTCTGCCGAACTCGAGAACATGCAGGAGTCGAGAGAGCAAGAAGAGGAGGCAGAGGCGAGGAGCGAGGAAAGGCGCGGATGTCGCCAGATCAGGCTTGATTCTGGGTGCCAGAAAACCACGGGCACCTGGCGAGCCGTGCACTCACGAATCAACTTAAAGACAAACTCTGCTAGGGCGTCCGCCACGCGAATGGCGCGAAGATTGGTGTGCTCACTGTTGACGCCCTTGAGCGGGGCGTCCAGGCGGCGGCATCGAGCGCCGCTGGAGGGCCAAGTCGCAGACGGCAAGGACGCCCACAGCCCTGAGACGGCCGATGATCGCACCCAGCCCAGCAACATCTGCAACGCGCGAGGATCCGAGGCGTCCGCTGCACGATGTCTGGCTAGGTTGATGGCCACTGTTCCTAGCCCGCGATCCTCGCAGGCCAGTCGAACACGAGGCGGCACGCAAATACACAATGTAACGAAGAACGGCAAAACAGAGGCGCGCAAACGGGCACGCCGCCACAGCCTATTCAGTCGAACCTCAACCGATCGGTCAGCGCGGGCGCCGTCCTCTCTGCAGCCAGCGCCGACGCGGGCACCAGGGGCGGCGGGCGGAGCGGGGGGGTGCCCGTCCTCGCCGCCACCTCCATCAGCTGCAGCAGCCTGGCCCCGACCTGGCCGCCGAAGAACACCAGCGCGGGTGAGAGCGGCAGCGACGGGTCGTTCACGATCGCGTTCTCGTCGGTCACCCCCGTCTGGCCAGGCCGGCCGCTGGCTGCCTCGTTGACCAGGCTGGCCCAGAGCTGGTAGCCGCCCTTCGACCCGACCCGCGGGGCGAGGAACGAGGCGGCCGCGAGGCGGCGGGCCTCCCTCGGGCGGGGGCACGTGTCGAAGGCCAGGCGCACGAACTCCACCTCGGACAGGCGGCCCTGCGCCAGGAGGGCGCCCACTGTCGCGAACATCGCCCCCCGAGGCAGCGGATGGCGCATCAGGGGCTGAACGAACTGCGCCCGCCCCTGCAGCGCCCGAAATGCCCGCGGCATCGGCCGACTCCCGACCAGCATGAGGGGGGGGGGTGGCACTTCGGGGCGGCCAGCTTGGCGCGGCCCGTCGCGCGGTCGTACCCGTGCAGGAACAGATGCGCGAGGAGCACCGCCAGCACGGCGTCGAGGTCGACGGAGCAGGACTTGCCCCTCCAGGAAGTCCTCGAAGCTCGGCCCGACGAAGAAGCCCTCCCTCGACGGCTTGTCGGCGACATTCCGCTCAGAGGGCGCCCATCGGACCAGGGGCCGCAGCCCGCGTGCCAAAGTGACGCCAGAGAGCCGCCTCAGCGCGCGCACGAGGCGCGGGCTGCCCGACCGCCCTTTGCCCACCGCGAGGGCTAGAGCCAAGTTGTCAACGAGGCATAGCATGCGATGATGATGGGCTCCGAGGGTCCTCGAGGCATGGTGGGTGCTGAACCCCAAGGCCTCAGCCTCATACTGCAAAATATCACCCAAGCCGTGTGTGCCTGCTCGAATGGATCGTCTTCCACCCGTCGAGCCCAAAGACAGCCTCGGGAACCTCCAAGAAGCTGGACATAGTCGACGACGACTCAACAGCAGCAGGGAGCGACGCGGCAGGAGGAGCATGGTCGGCGACATCCTGATGGGGCTCAGCGGGGCTGAAGGCGTGGGCCCTCGCGAGCACACTGGAGCCCTGGTGGCACCTCCACTTCTCGGCCCCGCGGCCTACGTCCGGGACCAGGTCGGGGGGGGCCACCTTGACGCACGCGCCCTTCCCGTGCGTCGACGCGTCAGACGCGTAGACCCTAGACGACCACCTGGACCTAGTAGAGGCGCCCCAGAGGGGGATCAAGGCAACTGTGGCTCGAAGTTCCCTAACCACGGAGTCCCCAAGAGGCGCGGGATGAGCGCCCACCACGTTGATGAACCTATAGACTGAGTTGAAGATCGCCAAGACATCCCGCCTCAAGATCATACCCCAAGTACAGTGGCCCACCAACGCGCTGAGAGCCCCCGCGGAGGCCCGCCCACGTCGTAAAAGTCCGACCGAGTGCAGCCTGCCGCGCACGCGCGAGGCGATCGGGCCGAACTCGAACGACGCCCGAGAGACCGTCGATCTGCAAGCCCGTGAAGACGCCCTTACTGACGGCCTCCGAGACCTCCAGGACGGGCAGGCCTCGGGACGTTAGAAGGTCGGCGACCTCACGAGCACGGCGAGTGGCAATCTCAAAGGTTTTTTTGACACGACGCAGAAATTGCCAACGTATCCAGCGCATATGGCGTCGGAATGGGAGATAAGCTTACGGGTGCATCCTCCGTCCACGATCATGTCACCACTGTCGAATCCAGCGTCGGTTAAGGCTCGAACGAGGGCGCTCTGACAAAATTGAAGGGCCCAGCTCCAACCCATGGGAACAACTGTGACCAACGGCAGCACAAAATCGTGGATACCGACAGGCCTCTCATTGATGTGAGGCCGATGTGACGATTGGGGATCGCGGGCAGCGAGAACAGCGACTCTATCCCTGGGGGCAGGCGCAGATGGTAGAAGGCACATTGTATATCACCTTGTGCAAACACGAAGCTGCCGTCGCATTCGACACTGGCCCGCGCGCTAGGCGTGGGAAGCTTGGTGGCTGGCGGTGTGGCAAAACTGCAGTTGGCCAGCCTAGTGTCGAAGACGGGCCTGAGCATGTGGTTGGATTTCTCCACGAAGAATAAACCGATTGTGTGAGACGACTGAGAACTGGCGGCTCCCCATGCGATCATGTCGTGAGCCTCCAGCTGCTTCAAAAACTGGGCGCGCGACTTAGGCTGATAGCGAAGCTCGGGGTCGACGCGCGGGCGCTAAATGCCCAGCGCGTCGCGGAGCTCCGCAGCAACCGACTCGGGATCCAACATAGTCTGCCTCCAACCCTGCAGCACGATGGAGTCGGCATCCGAGACGACGTCGGAGGTGGACACAGCCTTCGTCGACTTGGGCCAGGCCACGAGAGGCTGGCTGCAGGGGCGGACCCGACCGCTGTCGCCAGCGTAGCCAGGGGCCTGAGCGAGCATCTCTACCAGGGATGCTTCGCAGGCGCTGCTCCTCTCCGAGTAGGCGGCAGGCAGCTCGAACTCCCGATGCAGGCTCGAGCGGCAGTCCACCGAGGCAGCCTGCGCGGCGGGCGGGTCACCGCCGACCTGCGGGAGGTGCTCGGCGTCGCGGCCACTATGGAGCCAGTTGAGAGCAGTGAAACCCTCGTTGCACCACTCGCGCCAGCCCGCACCTTTGGCTGCGCGCAGACGAGCAGCGCGACCCAGCGGAAGATGGTGGCGCCCATCCACAGGAAGAGGTAGCGGGAAAACGTCGCGCTGGCGATCGGCACCACGTATGGGCGCCTCCAGACCAGGCGGGGGCACGAGGGCCTCGGGGCAAGCCTGGCCAGGCTCACGAGAGACGGGAACGGGCTCGTGAGGCCCCTCCTGGCCAGGGTCCTGAGGGGGTGTCATGGCGCCCGCAAGGCTCGCTCCTCACGAGCTTTGCGGCGTTCTTTCGCGACAGCAGCTGCCATCTTCATCTGATCGGCGATCCAATCCATCACAGCGGGACAGATGCACAAGTTCCCCTTCGTCCCCCCCGCGCCGAGGAAGCGGCCGACCTCCGAGCCGAAGTCCGCAGCCGCGAGCTCCTTGGCCTGAGCCTTGGCCTTCGGCACGGGCTGGGTCCTCAGCGCGCGCTCCTCGAACGCGCGCGCCTCCGCCAACTGAAGCTGGCGGGCGAGGTACTCGTAGGAGGCCAGCTCGCATATCACCAGCTGGTCGTGGCAGAGGGCGGTCTCTATCACGCGGCACAAGGTCTCGTGGAGCTTCGCGCTGTCGTCGGACTCTCCCAGCTGCATCATCGCAATCCATATGTTATGCCATGCCATAGCACCTCCAGCCATGCGTCGCATGAAACCAAGGACCCAGAGCAGTGTCCGAGGGCCTTTGACAGGCCAGTCGGCCCATGCCGTTTCGGTCTGCAGCTTCACCGCGTCGCTGAAAGCGATGCCCCGAAAGCCGCGGCCGTCGAGCACCAGCGCCATCACCCGCGGGTCTCCGACGAGAGGCGGCGCAGCGGCGGCGGGCGCGCCGCCAAGCACTGGGGCCGCGGCGGTGGGCGCTCCAGCGCCTCCGCCCCCGAGGGCGGTCGCCAAGGCGCCGACGCCGCCAGCTCCAGCGGGGGCGCCTAAGGCGGGCAGCGCGGCGGCGGCGCCTGCAGCCGGCGGGGCCCCCGCCGCGGGGGTGGCGCCGCCTAGCATCCCTGGGGCCCCCCCAGGCGCCAGGGCTCCAGCGCCCGCGCCAGGTCCGACGGCTGCAGGGTCGGGGAGAGGCAGCGCCCCAGCGGCCAGCCCCAGCACGTTGGTGGCGCTCAGGTCGATGCAGAACGGCGACGCGGGCGTCGCTCCGAAACCCTGGGTCGTCGCGCGGCGGAGCGCCGCCCACACCTCAGCAGCCCGATGCAGCTGCCGAAACTGATACAGGTGCTGAGGCGGTATCCCTGGCAGCCCCTCACCTTGGCCACTGAGAGTGTAAATAGATCGGATGTCGTGATTCGGGACAGCGACCTCGGCGTAGTCATCGCCGTCGGGCGCGAGGATGTACCCAGGCAACAGCGCCAGACGCTCGTGGTAGATCGCAGGGCCGCCCACGTTGTACCTCACGAGGTGGAACTGCCCAGCGACGGGCGTCGCCATCCCGACTATGCTCTGCGAAATCGAGCGGCCTGCGCTGCCGCCCCCACTGCCAAGTCAGTCGGGCGCACGTCCGCCTCCAGCGCAAACGGCTTACCCCGACACGGGGGCGCCGCGCAACGCAAAACCCAGCGGGCGAGCGACCAACCGCCCAGCGCGCCGAGGAGCAGCGAGGTGCCAAGTGCAGCGCCCGAGACGCCCGAGGCCACGGCCTCCGAAGGGGCGGCGGTCACCGCACCCAACCCGTCTGGGCAACGGCACTCCAGCGCGGGACAATGCAGCGCGGGCGAGCACACACAATCGCAGGCGGGGCACGGAGGCGAACTGCCTCGCACGATGAGGGCGGTGGAGAGTGCACTGGCGAGATCGTACGTGAGGCGTTCGAACAATGCCTGCATACCCTCAAGAACTTGAGCAAGGA